TATATTATGTATACGACGCGTTGTGCAAAGCAAAGGCACAATTAGTCAAGTGTGTGTGTGTGTGTGTGTGTGTGTGAGTATGCGTGTGTGTGTGTGAGAGAGTGTCTCTGTGTGTGTATGTGTATGTGTATATTCAGCTGCTTACATCACTTTATCTAGATTATTTTGTAGACAGACGTAGCTCTCCTCTCGCTCACTCTCTCTCTCCCTCTTGCTCCCTCTCCCTCTCTCTCCCTGACTCACTTTCCGCCTCTGTCGCTGCGGCGGCGGCGGCGGCGTCGTCGTCGTCGTCTGAAGACGTTTAAACTCATTTTGGCACAAGGGCCAAACAAAGTTGAGACCCGGCGGCGTCTCCTCTGTCATTTTAACTTGGCCATAATTATGGGCAATCAAACGTTTTTATTAGACGCTCCAACTAATGATCTTTTGTTCCCAGCACTGTTTCAGCTGCGCTCTGCGGCAAGGTCAAGTCTTTGCTTTTAACTGAAATTCAATAGCGTTGCTTCTGGCCTTTCTGGCCAACTGATTAGCCATGTTCAAGATCGGAATGCCTAATTGATTGAGCAAATGATACGGTTCTGGAATGTGTTAGCTCGAGAATTGGATGTGTTGCGGAATATGGATTGAGGGCATAGACAAATTCTATGCTAAACACGGGCTGTCGCTGTCGCTGAGTGCGGGCTGAGCGCGGTTCTAATTACGTCAAGTCGAGCTGCCAGAACAGAGCAGAAAGAAAAAAGCAAAATAGATGCCATCGAACAACTTGTTACCATTCGCTAAGCAGCGCGCTGTCTATGCTATTAGTTATATGATTTGCCATGGGATTGATGAATGGAGTAGATGTGTGGAATGAGGCGGATGTGAGCAGCGATATACATCAGTGTATACAATATAATGATAGATGTTTGTAATCTATAATCTCTCTTATTTATTTGGTATTTTATTTAGTTTTCTTATATTTTATTTTTCAGCTTCAATAATAGATAAAGAGTTATGTTTATATTTAGATTTTTAGTTTACTTTTAAATTAAATGAAATTCGACAATCAAGCAAAAATCATTTGATATTTTGGTCAACAAGTAAACAGAATGTGGCTAAGACAAGACATAGATGAATCTATAAATATATTTTAATATATACATACATATATATAAGTATAAACGGTAAACAAAAGTATTTTGTCTCTGTTTAGCTAGAGTATAGGTTCACATCCCTGGATAGAGACAGAGATAGTTTGGACGATGGGCTTTGGCTTTGATTCAGTTTCCTTCTCATTCTGCCAGGTTGAATATTTGCATCTCTTTCTGTTATCTGTACTCTTCAAACACTTTGCTTCTTTCTACTCAACTTCCCCTTCTTTCTTCTCAATATTTATTTCTCTTTTTTTTTTCTTCTCACTACACTTTTCCTTATTTTCCCATTTTATTTCCTTACTCTTCTCGCACCTTTCTTATATCCACTCAATATTTCCTTCTTTCTTTTCTTCCTTTATCACTTTTGTATTCCTTCTTCTCAATCCTTTCTTCTCTGGTTACCCTTTTCTTTACACTTTGCTTTATTTCCTCATACGTTGTCTTTACTCCTCTCTACTCTTTCTTCACTCTACTCTCCATTTTCTTCTTTCTTCTGTCCTTCTATTACTTCCTTATTCTCTCTTCCTTCTTTTTAATCCTTTCTTCTCTTGTTACTCTTTTCTCTACTCTTTGCTTTCTTGTCTCATTTCTCTATTTAATTTCACCTTTTTCTTCTCTCTTCTTTCTCCATTTTCTTCTAGTTTTTTCATTCCTTCAGTTTCTTCTTTTCGCTTATTCTCGCATTCTCTCCTCACTAAATATATGTTCTATATCCAATCATCTCTCTTTTTTCTACTTTTAACTGTCATTTCTCTTTCTTTCTTCTCTTGTTCCTTCTCTTCTCCTCATACTGTTTACTTCCCACTCTTCTTTCTGTCTCTCTCTCTCTCTCGCTCTCTACCGCCCACACTTCTAGCCAAGTTATCTAATTAAAGCATTAGCTAATATCAAAACAAAGGTACCGCTATTCAAGGCCCACTAACAGCTCCCAGCTCTCAGCTCTACAAAATGTTTGCCATACTCTGGCTTATCACTGGCCTCCGTGCCATTCAAACGGCCCAAAAAAAAAAAAACTAAATACTAACAAGATTTATATAACAATTTCAAGGCCAAACACACACACACACACACACACACACACACTTAGATATTTATGTATATATATACATCAACCTGCATTAGCTAATCTGAGCAGACGAGCAGCAAAAACTTTTTAATTACCAACAGGAAAAGCAGTCAAGATAAGCGAGAGATGCAGAGGCTGCGGCAGAGGCAGAGGCAGAGGCTGAGGCTGCGGCAGAGGCAGCTAAAACATTTACATAAATTTCAAATATAGCGAGAGGAAAATTGTGTTTTATACAAAGTTTTATGTGCGAGACGAGACGAGGCCAGGTCGAGTCCGAGTTTCAATTTCTGCCCAAAATCTAAACCTTTACAATTTTTTTGTTGTTGCTCTGTTGCTGCTGCTGCTGCTGCTTCTTCTTCTTGCTCTCCAGTCTGGAAAGGCATTTATGACTTCTGTAAATACCAACGGAAAAAGAAAAACTCAACTTTTTTTTCCTGCTTTTAGCCCAGCTCACGGTAACAATTTTACAGCTTAAATATTTTTTAGCCATTAGATAAACAAACAGAAAGAGCCGTAAACAGGCTAAACGGGGGGCGGGGCGCCGAGGCGCAAGACACAGAAAAAAAAAGTAACGAAAATATCTTTCAAGTACAATGTTAGGTAAATATAAACAAAAGTTTTTTTCCACCTCTCGCCGGCTGCTGCTGCTGCACTTTGCTGCTGCTGCTGCTTGTTGTTGTTTTTTATTTCTCTTCTTCTTTATGTTTTTTGGCTACCTTTAAAGCTTTTAGAGCATAAGAAGTCATATAAATTACATTAGCTAAGTGCTGGGCGGCAATTAAAAATACGAGACGCTGAGAGAGCGCCGCGCACCGGCCTTAGAAATGTGAGCGAGCGGCTGCTAATGATGCTCTAGCTGTCCCCCTCCCTCCCCCCCCCACAGCACAACAGCAGCATCATCGTCAACAACATCTTCATCATCATCATCATCATTGTAATCAGCGAGAACATTATCAGCAGCATTAGCAGCATCATTAGAGCGTCAACTTAATCAAGGTTAAAGAAGAGAAGAAAATAAAATATAAAAAAAAAAGCATGCGGCATGCCGGAAAATTTGTTTGTGTCTCGCTTATGCAATACAAGCTCAAGTGGCATGAAAATACACAGCGAGCGAGAGAGCGGGAGTGGGTGAGGGTGGACGGGGGCAGCTGAGGGCAACAACAAATAAACAAATACTGCTGCTATTTTCACGAGCACATCCATATACTGCTGCAGCGCATAATTAGCTGGGAGTTTGTTTGGCCCGCGTCTCGCTCGAAACATCAATTTCCATTTTCCAATACAATTTTTCATTCGGCGGTGAAAAGTGCGAACTGGCTGGATTTGCTGATGCGATTACAAAAGTTCACCGCGTGTGGCAAGTGTTGCAAGCGCTGCCCAGTGTTGTGTAATGCCCAAATGTGCGCTCAATTTGGGGCTAATCAATGAGCAAACAGCGGCGAGGCTAGCGAAGTGCAGGAGCTTAAATCCAATTGGAATCGAATCAGAGCAAATGCCAGCAAGGAGTGAAAAAGCATTGCGATAGCTATATTTGAGTAGTTGTCGGAGTTATCGATAACTGCATATGAAGTTGACCAATTGAAAATTAATATTAAAATTAAATGATGAAGATTAAAGGATAATTTAATGAAATTTAAATTTAAATAAAAAAAATAAATGCTGTCTTGCTTAACTATAAATTTTATTGAAATAGAAAATATTTATATATTCAAGAATTAATAATATATAATATAAATATACTAACGTACATTTAAGTTAAAATGTTTGAATTTATTATAAATCTAAATAAAATTGAATATATAAATTAATTTTAAAATATTTTAATTTCATCTGTCAACCAAATTCATTTATATATTTAAAATATTAGCAATAAATTAGCAACAAATATTATAAAAAATTCAGTTACTTAATTTTAAAATTTATTTATAATAAAAAATACAACTTTTTTTAAATTAAATATTAATAATTATGTATACAAATTACTTTAGTTGGGAATATTTATATTGTATATTAAAATTTAATTGCTTTTGTTTCTATACATCCATAAATTAACTTTAAAATATTTAATCATAGTTAAAGATCTGTTAAAGCCCATCGTCGACTTTTACACTTTAGTCAAAAGTGTCGGAATTTTCGGCTTCCCCATTGCAGTTGTTACACAACTTCTGGCCTAGGCCAACTTTATGCCAGCTCACGTTTGGGCCATTAAGCAACGGTTCTGGGCACAAACTGAAAGAGAAACACGCCCAACACACGCACACACACACACACACAAACATCAGCAGCAGTCAACAGAACAAGTCAAGTCGAAATGGTAACTGTTCTGCAGAAGTGTCAAGCATTTCCACATAAAGACGAAGCCAACACACAGACGCAAACACATGTAATCTGTGTCCACGCCTCACAGCAGCCCCAGCCCCAGCCCAGGTCCGAGCCCCCGATCGAGCTTCATTCATAAAGATTCACATCTGAGTGCGAAGAACAAACACGCAGAGCGAACAAACACCTAACTGAAAAGTTCCTGGAATTGCACGAGCTTTAAGATCTTCTAACGAAAGGCAAACCCGTTTCTTGTCTTTGGGGACGAATGACATAATTAATGATTGTGGAATTTTCATCAAAACACAAAAAAAAAGAACAGGAAGAAGCAGAATGAAACCTTATCGATGGCAAGCAAGTTAAGGATATAAATTACATGCAAGCTGCTCACTGACAGCCGAAAATAGCTAAATAAAGGAAAATGAAGCTAGAATTCCAGCTGAACATCAATAAAGCTTAAAGCTAACTTAATTAAAACTTACGCTTGGAAAAATTGCGGCAAAGCACTTTGCAGTAAATTAAGAAACGTCGCACAAAAGTAACACGCGAATATTTGCTCGATTTTGTTTTTGTTTTTGTTTTGTGCTGATGAATGGCAAAACGGTTATTTTCGGCAATTGCCTAAAAAAAGAACAACAATAACAAGACGCACGCACGCCGCAAAGCGAACGGGTTAACGCTCATCACTAGGCACAGCAGCGGCTGCAGCGGGCAGAGAGGCCTGAGCGTATGTGTGTGTGTGTGTGTGTGTGTGTGCGAGGGGGAGGGCGAACTGGAGCAGAATTTTTGCACGCGCGCGTTGCACTCACTAAACGCACAACTATTAAATGCAAATTGTATTAGTTAACGGCTAACGGTTGCAGTTTTGAGTTTTTTCGTTTTGTTTTTGGTTGTGAATTCGGTAACGGTTTTGTGTTTCGGTTTCGGTTTTGGTTTCAATTTCGCTGGCTCTCCACAACGCTTGCCCATAAAAACAACGTCCAGACACGTTCACGTACTCGGCTCAACTGGCAAAAAGTATCTGAGAGCGCAACGGGCATCGCACGCAACGAAACTTGTTTATGAACTAAAATTATCTGCCAGCAGCCCACCACGCTCACACGCTCGCTCTCGCTGCTCGTCGGGCGACGAGCGCACGAGCTCACGAAATACGAGGCACACGAAGCACGGCCAGCGAATTGGATAGTGCAAAAGTTATCTGAGAGCAGCTGATAAGCAGCGTGTGAGAGAGCGCATGAGTTGCACTCAAATTGGATTCTCATTGAGTCAGATAAACGCATGGTGTGCTGGGTTTGAAACTTGGCTAAACGCTGAGCTGCTTTGCCAAGATTTTATTTTATTTTTTTTGACAATATTTGTGGGTGTCAATGTGGTGTGTGTGTGTGTGCCTGTCCAATTGGACTACATACAGGTGTGCTAAGCCGCCAGGTGAGACAAATAATTTGCTGATTCAATAAAGTTGTCAGGCACGCGAATTGGTCTAATTGGAAAGGCTTCGAGTAATTGGTAAATTAATATTATTTAATGCATTAGTACAACTTTTTTATTAGTTAATATAAGTCGTATATAAAATATATTGTTAATTTTTATATTTATTTTTTTTGCTGTTGTATCAAAACTTTTATTAATTTCCGCCTCTAGTTCACTCAATAACCCAGTTTCCAATTGGTAGCCGCTTGACAGAAAGAATCCGCTTTAAATTCCAATGGGTTAATAACTCTAAATTCTTATCAGCTTATCAGCAAATATCAATAGAAATTGAATGCGGCTTGAAGTGCACACAAAATATGCAAATCAGATTTTTTGGGAGCGGTCAACAACAACAACAAGAGCAACAACGGGAAGCAAAGCAAACAGAATGCATTGCCAAAGATAAACAGAGAGCCGGGCGTTGAGTGGGAGAGCGAGTGGCAGCGCGAGAGAGGGAGCCACAGCGTGAGAGCGTAAAAGAAATAATTTGTGCTCTGTTTTGCCGGCATTCAAAGTCACTCAAAGCATGTTCGCTCTCTCGTAAGTTCGCTCGCTCTCTCGCTTAGATAAAAATGCATTCATAGCCAGTTTTTCCTCAGCGCGCTAGTTCCGCTAAACACGCACAGATGGCGCTACTGTGCCATAGATAAGAAAAGCCGCGTGCAACTGCAGCTTGTTGTTGTTTTTTTTTAAGGCATTAAAGTCACATGCGACGTCATCAGTTTTAGCGACTTCCGTTGCATATGTCGCCTGCCACGCCTCCACAATTGAGGGCGGTGTGGAAGCAAAAATTTTTTGAAAATGTTAAAAGAACTTGAAAGTTTCAGCGCTGAGTTACGGCAGTAGGTGGTGCGGGTGGTGCGGGTGGTTCGAGTGGTGCGCCATTGTTCGACAGTTGCCCCAAACACAGTTTTCATTTTTCGCATGTGTTTTTTTTTTTTTTGTGAACATGTGTGAACAACTGCACTCGCAGTCGCAGTCGCAGTCGACGTCGCCGTTGTCGTCGCAGACTCCTTCTGCTGCTGCGAGCAACCCCCAAATGAGATGTCCTCCTGACTTGGCCTCCAGGCAGCGATTAATCACGAAATTTTCACAGAAAATATCCATTAGATATGAATTAAGTCATAATTGAGAGAGTGCAAGCCGTGAAGTGCATGTGTATGCCAGTGGGTGAGGGAGGGGGAGAGGGAGAGGGGGAGAGATGTAGGTGGCAGAGGTGTGAGGGAAAATGCCTTGGGGTTGCTTGCAGCAGCAGCCTGTTGGGGGTGGTTGCATTGTGTGTGTGTGTGCGCCTGCATAAATAAAGTTTGCCTTCAGGGAGTACACACACACACACACTTACATACACACACACATATGTACACCATATATACATATGAATTATGCCTGAAATATGCCTGAAATTAAAGATGCTTTTGCTGCAATTGAAACTCTTTCAGCTCGAGTGCTTCTTAGACCTCAAGTGGCACTAATTACAGTTTGAGAGGCGCTGAGAGTGTGCGATTAAAGTGAGCGGCTGGATAATAAAGGATTTGTTAATCTCTAATAATTGCTAATATTTGAGAACAACATTAAAAATTAATAATAAAACAATTGTTCATTTCATTTTTATTTTAAAAAATTATTCAGCTTAAATTTAAACTGATATAAGCAAACTGAACGACTTTTAATGATATTAATATGTTAAATTGAAAGCTATAAAACCAAAAAAAAAAAACATATTAAATATTTTATGCAATTAGAATTTGTATTTATTTTATATATGAATAAACTTAAATTAAAATTATCTACATATATATTCAGTTTATTTTAATTATATATATATGAATAATTTATATAATATATGAATAATTTTAAACTAAAAATATAAATATAATATATTGTTTAAATTATATTATTAACTTAAATCAAAACAAATTTATGTTCAATTAAAAGCTGTAAAACTTAAAATAATTTAATGCAATTAATTTATTAAAATTAATATATAAATAAATAAATATTTTTAATTTAAATAAAAATAAATTTTTATTCAATTAAAAATAAAAACAAAATTCAGTGTAAACCTAAAAAATAATTTAACGCACCTAATGTATTAAAATAAATATATTTATAAAAATAAAATATAAAAGAAAAAGACTTTTTAACGCTTTCAGTTCTTCATAAATTTACTTTAACAAGTAAATATGAATACATTTTTTTTTTTGTAAACTATACATTTTTATTTATTTTTTTTTATGAAAAAAAAAATTGACATTACTCTTAATCTATTAATATATTTTTTACTATTTATTTATAAATATTTTTTAAATTATTGTTAAATTTATATTATATTTTTTGTATTATTTTACTAAAGTTCCACTCCATTTGTTTTATTAATTTAGGTTTTTTTGCTTTCATATAAATACTTTTTTTGGTGTACTATACAACAATAATACTAGTTCATTAAAGTTTTTAACTGTTTTTGAAAAAGTTATTTAGCTGCCTCATAAAATCAACTCACTCAACAGTCTCTTTAGTCTGTGAACTAGTTAGCTAATTGAACTAATTCCTTAAATGAACAATTTAAGTCGTTCACACTGGAGCTAATGCAGCTTAATCTAACACATCCAACTAAAATTCTGTATTCCCACATTTGATTGACGATTCTGCTTTATTCAAGCTTCACTGTTACGCAAATATCTACACATATACTCACACACACATGCATACATACATATATGTATGTATGTTGATATAGATACAGGTACACACGCATATATATTATAATACCGTTAAACCGAAATATTAATTACACGTTATTAATTTGCTTTTCATATGAAAAATGATTCGCTTCCCTTTAACGGGGCGGGCCAAGTGGACCAGCTATTATTTAAATGAATTGTTTTGAGCGAACTACAACAACAACAACAACAACAACAACAACAACTATAACAATAACAACAAATTTTTGGCCAACTGATAAAAACCTTTTCTCGGAGCGCAAACACAAAAAATTTGCGCGTGGGCGAATCATATTAATTTTTTTGTTTTGTTTTTGTTTTGGTAGTTGACCCCGCTCGCCTCGCCCCCATCGCCCATGCCCCTCCAAGGTGCCGTGCGAGAGCGACGTCGGCGTCGGCGTCGGCGGCCTATCTCGATTATTGTTTAATACGCTGTCATTAATCAATTTGTTTGCCATTGTTTGGAGTGGGGAGGGGAGAGGGGAGGGCCACACGGTAGTTGTGTTGGCTGTGGATGTCTTTGTGGCCAAATTAATTATGGCTACCACAGCGCAAATGTGTGCGTGTGTGTGTGTGCTATGTGTGTGTGTGTGTCGCGTGTGTGTGGCACGCGTTTCAGCCCAATAAACAAGAAAAAAACTTGTGCCAAACGAAAAAAACAACAAGTGAAAGTAAGACAAACGAGTGTGAACGACTAGCAGATACCGCGTAGTAAGCTTTTATAGGCTTAAGTATGCAAATTCTACACTTACCTTACGCTACGATCCCATTAAGTTCAATTTTGGGATTATAAGTAAACTTCCAAGTAAAATTGAGAAAGATTTTTGAGGGTATTACGACTTTTATTCCACAATCTGAATAATATTTCTATACAAAATAGTTGTAGAGATGACAAAGATATAATATATATATTTACATATACATATACATATATATATATGTATATATATGCATACACATATACATATGTATATAGAGTCTAGGCAAAGTTCTATTCGGGCAGACTCGATGCCGACTCAAGATTTATAAATATACATAAATCAACTATAGTCGCTCATTCTGTATATTGGAGAGTATTCCCTCTGCCTGTTACAAAAATACCCGCTCAACCAATATACCTCATCAATCTAGTTCGCCTGCTCTCATAGCAAGTGCACAGAAATAGTGACAAATAATTTGCGGCATTATAAATGAGTTTGTTTTGTTCGCTGTTCGCAACATAATTTATTATTCGCCGTTTACGAAAATCAGTGTCTAAAGAGCAAGCGAAATGCATAAACAAAGAAAAACTGATGAAAATTCGCAAAGTCAAAGATCGTTTATCTAAATTATGGAAGCGAAAAATTAGATTCTATTTTAAGCAAAGGCAGATCTAAAATTTAATTTTCAATAAACTTTAATGTGAATACAAATGGGCGAAAAAGAAATATACAATATAAAATATAACAAAAAATAATATTAATAACAATAATTATAATAATAAATAAAAATAAAACAAAATAATAATAATAATATAATAATAATAAAAATAACAACAATATTAATGAATGAGCAAAAGATCATAGAAATATAACTACATATTGGGAATATTTATATTAATTAAAAAAACAATAATACAGTCTTTATAAAATATTTAAAATATATAATATAAAATGTATATGTGTAAAAATCTTTTTACTAATTTAATACATTAAGAAAATTAAAAAAAGGGTTGGCCAATATATAAATTTGAATATTCTGCTCATAAAAAAAAAAGTCCGAATTTATTTGATAAAAAAAAATATAAAACAACTCAACATTAATTGGTATATAAAAATATATAATCAAAATAAAATTAAAAAAAAGTTTCGTATTTTAAC